AAAAGCAAAGAACCCACAAGACCAATTTTTCCAACTTAATCTGTGGGGCCACAAAACCCCCAGAAGGATATAGTAAGAGAACAGAAAATTATGTGCCTGTGTCACTCATAGACACATGTCCACAAAGTACTGTGGAAACAAGAAAAATACCTAAGAACCAAAAGCAGTTATTAATAGTATTCACCACATTAAGTTTACCAGATTAAATCTGCACCACCTATCCCTTATGAAAAATCAAAATACTGTGCAAAGTACAAATAGAGAATGTCTTAATCTCAAAAAGAATATTCTCCTAACATCTACAGCTAAACTACATCCAAGGTGAATTCCTCTGAAGATCAAGAACAAAGCAAGATTTGTGGCTGTTACTGTGACACCCGACTTCCTTGTCTGTGAGGCAGGACAAGAAAAAGAAGCAAAAGTTTTGGGCTGGATAAGCTCAGTGTGCTTGCCTAGCATGCACAAGGGCCTGGGCTTTCTTTCCAATCCTGCAATAAAATAAAATAAAAAAGAAAAATTTAAATGATTTGAATGGAAGAAACAAAATCTATTCACAAGTGGTAGAACTGCTTATAAAGAAAACACAGAATCCTCACATAACTTAAGATGAGACAGTTTTTAAGTTTGCTGAGTCAGTAGTCAAAAACAAATTACACTTTTACACACTAGCAACAGAGTTGTGAGTGTTGAGTAAAACAAATACCAGGAAGTTAGGAATAGCGCTATTGAAAATTTGCCAGACCTTATTCACGAAAGCATTAAACTGTATTGGGAACTATTAAAGGTCCAAACAAAACTTCGAGCACCATGTTTATGGGCTGGAGCACTTGGTGCCATAATGACTTGGATTATACCCCAGTAGATCATGGGTTTAATATGAGTCCAGTGAGAACCTCAGTAGAATTTTTGTGGACTTTGGTCATCGTTTCTAAGATGTGTGTGAAAGACAAAGGTTGGTGGCTGGCAAGGCACTACTTAGAACAAATCGAGGTAGGGAACTTGAACTACCCATGTCCAGACTTAGTTTTAGTTTGATTATCATCTAAATGAAAAGCCCAATAGAACAGAATAGAAAGCCCAGAAATGGTCCTTACCCATGTGGAAACTCGATCTGCGCACACAAATACTGTAAGCTGGTGGAGAAAGGAAAAAACCAAACCAACCAACCAAAAAGACCTCAGAATAAAGTTACCCTTCCCTCACACTGTACCATAAAGTACAAAACTTCAAAATGACCAGAAGAAAACTATAATTTCTCTTCAGTATTGAAAAAGAATTTCTGAAACAAGATGTAAGAAGCTCTAACTGTACAGAGAAGATGGATAGATCTGACTACTTTAAAGTCAGTAATTTCTATTCGTTAAAGAAATCACAAAGACAGAAGGCAAATCACAACTGGGGTAAGATATTTGCCATCAATGAAAAAGTTAAAATGATATAAAATACATAATGAACTCCTACAAGCCAATAAAAAGAAATCATAGCATCCCGTATAAAAACAGAGCAAAAGAATACAAACAGTCTTATTATGGAAAAGGAAATTTGAGGGTCCAATAATCATATGAAACTTCCCCACTTCCCTAGTGATCAGAGGTGAAATTAAACCATAATGAAACAGTTTTTTACTCCCAATGCACTGGCAAAAAATCCTAATAACCACTACCGCTAAGTGTTGGCAAGGACTTGGAAAGAGGAGAATGTCTGTGTGGGACAGGTTCGAGTATAAATTGGCTCAACGTCCTATAAAAAACAACCTGGTAGGGTTTTGTGAGTTGAACATTTGCGGGCTGTGTGACCCAGTGATTCCATTCCACTTCTAAGTGTACATAATAAGAAACCTCATGGCAAAATCTCCTTGAATGTATTGTAATTGCAAAAATTCGGAAAGAACCCAAAGTTATTGTTTAATACAGAATTAAGTTTTATATTCATATCAAGGTACATTGTAAACGTATGGAAATGTGACAATGAACTTATATATGCTAATAAAATGTTTAAAAGATTAAGTTTATATTTGTGCAATGGAATGATATACAGAATTAAGCATGAATTAAGCACCACAGGCATAACGTGGGGGGACCTAACAAATGGAAGGTTGAGAGAGAAAAGGAAGTCAGAGAACAAACACGCCTGGTATTTTGTGACCACTTCTGTCCTATTTAAATAGGGGCTGTTAGATATGTGTCACACATAGGAGGCAGCTCAGAAAAAGGACAGCAACCACCAAGTTGGCCAGCTAAAATAAGATTGACCAGTAAGTAGAAAAGTTCTTATTTTCAAGACTGTCGTTAGATCTAAGAACAGGTGTCTTTGCACTAATTCAGGTCTCGAATGTCCCTCACAGGTGTGTGTGGAGGGGTGGGGTGGGGACAGAGGACAGGGACTGAGGTGCTATGTCTCCTAATAAGAGCTGCAACAGTTCCTTGCCTCCCTGAGCCTGGATGCTCCTGACCCAGCCTCTAGAGGTGGGCTAAGCCCCTTCCCCTAGAGTCTGGGCTGATTTTGTGACTTGCTTTGATCAACAGAATGCAGCAAAGTAATATTCTGGGACTTATGACCCCAGGCCTTAAGGGTTGATAGCGTCTCTTCTCAAACCGTCAGGATGCCAGGCTAGCTTTCTGATGATCTGAGTCCTGGCGGAGCGAGGCCTTGGAGGCTGAGTCCATCTGGGATGGTCCAGCCCTGCTACTCTCCCAGCTGAATGCAAATCATGAGCAAGCTGTGACCCCAGCTGAACTGGAAGTCAGAAAATAGTGAAGTGCTGTTAGGCCCCAAACTTCTGGGTGATATCGTGCCCAGGTCCTTTTGGGACCAGAGTTGATAGGAAGGAAATCAGGTTTATTCATGAGCTGGTCTTGAGACGATGGAGGGGACTATCATCCTCATAGCACCATCGTGGGGGTCTCAGATACAGGAAGGGGGGGAAAGGAGGAGCAGTGAGACAGTGGGCAGGAAGGCTACAGGCTGAGTGGGGTGTTTGTTGTTCGGTGTGATTGTCTGTGTCTGCCGGAACAAAGCAATGGACCTTGACCTCCTGAGTCCAGTTCCTGTAGTTCTGTATACAGACAGACTGCTTTTCTGCAAGTTCAGCCTCATAGCACTTCATGTGCTCATGCACGCAACTAAAGAAAACTGGTGTACGACACAGTCTGAAGGTGTCAGAGGGTCACCAGATATTCTGGGTCTGTAAATTTGAAGATGATGTAAGTTACTATCTTAACCCTCACGGTGTGGTTTTTCTTGAGAACGCCAGGCAATGGGAGGGGAAGTAACTTTGCAAAAGACAACTGGCAGATGGCCACTGTTACAATATCAGCAGTCTTGTTTCCTGAGTGGCTTTCAGATATATATATCTAAGTCACTATGCCTCATAACTTGCTGACTTCTTCATACTAGCAATGTCCAGAGTTTTCTATGTAATAAATAAATAGAAGAAATAAAAAAATAAATAAATTAAAAAATAAATAAAAATAAAAATAGAAGCAATAAATAAAAAAATAAAATAAATAAAAAGAAACCCAAATGAAAACATCCACCTTAATGACGTGTAAAATGCTATCTCCTAGTTCTGTTTCCTTTCTTTTTTGGACAGGGTCTCAGTATGTAGCCCAGTTTGACCTTGAACTCATGATCCTCCTGCTTCAGCCTCCCCAGTGCTGGGATTACAGAAGTGCACCGCCATGCCTGCTTTGTCTTCTTTATAACTGTCATCAAACATGGCGTATTTTTCATTTCATGAACTCCCCATCCATATTCTTTGCTCATTTTATAAATCATCTTTCGTGATTTATATAAACTTTGCCACTTAAGGAAAATCACCCTTTTAATGTTCTGTTTGCTAATCCTATCTTCCAGTCTCCTGCTCACACTTTTGAGACTTTGTTGTATATAAACTTTAACTTTTCACTAATAAATTCTTACTTGGTGGCTATCACGCTTAGAAAACCCTTTCCTCCTCCAGGATTAAATCATTTTCTTTTAAAATGCTTTTATGGTGTCATCTTGAAACTTGATTCGCCCAGAATTCAGTTTGTACAGAGAAGTAGGATCCAGATTTATTCTGCCAAAATGACCAGCCAGTTCTTTCACTCAAAATAGTGCGCTTAGACCCACTAACTTGCAATGCGGCTCTAACTACGTAGTAAATTTCCCTGTAATTTAAGTCAACTTCTGGGCCCTCTTCCTCTTCTGCAGCAAAGGCCTTAATTATTATAGTTTGCAAGCTGAGTACACGAAGGGCAGTTCTTCCCGTTACAGGATTTACCGGCTTCACCCCAGGTTTATTTTCCCTCAAAGAACCAATTGTGTTAAATTAAAAAGCAAATCTGTTGGTATTTCAATGGATTGCACAGCATTTTGGTGAGTGAATGTCAGCCAAACCCATCTCAGCAAGCTGCCTTTGTAGGAGAACAAGGTGTGTCTGCCTTCATTTGAGTCTTTAAAGGTAGTGAGACTGTGACCACTCACTCTCACCCTATTGCAGGACAGGATATAGGTTCCACCTCCCGGGTCCACTTAACCAAGTTCTCCCACATTCTCTCTGGGGAATGTGACCCTGTGACTATTTCAGATGCACCAATAACAGTTACTGCCCAGACATTGTGGACAGCAGACACCGTCCTCGTGCTTAAAGTCACGAAATAATGATGTCACCTGCCCTGCAGAACAGGGTGGTTTTTGGGCACTAAAAGCAGCTTGACCTTATGTGGTTTTGTAAGTTCTCCTTGAGGCCTAGGGGGAGCACTGTCTTCCCTCCTCCCGCCTGAAAGGTGAGCTCCACCTGGCTCAGACAGTGACAATGAAGGGCCACCCCGTGCTCGCTGGCTGAACCAGAGAACAAGTCCACCTCTTTAGGGGCCAGATGCCAAGGTCTGCTGGCATCTCCTTATCCACTGTCCTCGCCAACATCCACTTCCCTCCCCTCTGTCTCCAGAACACTCCGAACCCATCGGGTGCCCCTACCCACCACGCCAGGGCCACAGTCAGAAGTAAAAGATCTTTATTTTCTACAGACACTTCTGAAAAGGAATCTAATAGAGAAAATATACAAAGCATGTAAGTTCATCTCCAGACAGCACCCAAGTCTGACTGGAGGCGTCAAAGCCTCTCCAGGGCTCAGGGCTGAGACAGTTAGCAAATTAACATCAGTAAAAACATGCAATCGTGAGAAGAAAAAGGAAAAACGTCGCACCCCTCCAGCAGAGGGGATGGATTCCGGAGCAGAGGAGGCAGGCTGCTCAAGTACTAGGTGGTCCTCCCTTTCCCTTTCCCTGTGTCTCTGGGCTTTGAAAGCGACAAGCTCCATTCACTGCCCAGAGCCAGCAACTCGGGACAGTGCTACCTGCTGCTTCCGCCCAGGCTGCGGGCATCAGCTTGTGCTCCTTGGTGCCAGGCCTGGGGCTCTGACTCCTCGACTCTTTGGTTCCACTCAGAGAACAACTGTGCTTGACAGGCTCGCCCCACCCCCACACTGCAGGCTCCTGCGGGTGGGCTGAAGGCACTGACGAGTCCTGGGGAGGCCCCAGGACAGCCACCTTCCCTTGTGCTCTGGCGGGTTGGTTCCCCTCATCCTCAGTCACACCCAGGCCGAGGAATGGGGACAGTGAAGTATGCCGTGCAAGAAAAAAGCCTTCCAGGACTTTCCCAACTGTGTGGATAATTTCTACCCCCAGACTAGGCTCCATCTCTACCTCTGCCCAGGGCTTTCACACACCCAGCTCTTCCCTCTAGTCCTTCCCCTTGGCCCAGCCACTGGGGACCTGACTTCAAGATGCTGGATCACAGAAACCACTTTGGGTGTCCCCTCCCACCCCGCATCCATGAGGTCAGCAGAGGCCTCCAGAGGTCACGGCCCTGGTTACGGGGAGGCAGGCAGGGCTAGAAGGAAGGGTGGGACATGTCACATATATGGGACGGCGCCCAAGGTACAAGCTAAGCAAAGGGAGGAAGGAGGACCAGAGAGAGCCCGGAAGGAGAAAAAAGAGGGCAGGGGTGGGCCTGGAGGGAGAGGCCTCACACCACCCCACAGATGATGGTCTCTACCACGAAGGTGTTCTCAAAGTGGCGGATGGCGTTGCAATTCTTGATCCCACGCTTGTTGATCCCTGGGAGGAAACAGAAAAAAGTCCAGTGAGGCTTGTGTCCAGGCCCAAAAAGCCACACCCAGATTCACCCAAAGCAGCACTGTGGAGTGGGGAGAGCTCAGATGCTGGAGTCACACTCGGCTGGCCCACGCCTGCCACCTCCACGCTGTGTGACCATAGGGGTGTTCCTTAACCTCTCTGTGCCCTAGTTTCTGGTCTTTAAAAGGAATAACTAGAATAATAATGCTTATGGCGGTGATGAGTGTAGAGCAAAGCCTGGTACACTGTAAGTGCCCAATTAATGTTGGCTATCGTCGCTGTGGCCACTGAAACACCAGGCCAGCTGGGCCAGGCACGGCCAGAGGCTGACCAGGGTTTGGAGCTGGGGCAAGGGTTGGCCACTCACGCCTCCGGGTGGCCCGGCGCCGCAGCCGGTAGGTGTCCTTTCCATTGCACAAGTGGTAGATGAAGGATCCCAGGGCCTCCTTGTCGCTGACATGCTCTGTCAGCACCATCTCCTCCTGGATGATGTACGTCTGCGGGAGGTACGTCCCTTTCTGCCAGGCGGGGAGCCACAGCGCAGGGTCAACACCAGGGCTCCGCTCCCACCACCACTCCCCTTGTGGCTCCCATGCCACACACCTCCTGCAGCCGAGGTTCCTCCGGTGTCCCCAGGCTGGTGCTTGTCCTATACTGTGATGACCTGTGGCACGTGTGTAAGTCCAGCCTCCCACCCGAGGGGAGGCCCCAAGCCCTTTCCCTGCACCACGAACCCAGGTGGGAACCTGAACACTAAGGAAGCTGCTGTCAGGGTCCTCCAAGAGTGGGGAGAGGGAGAAGGTGAGAAGTGACTCTGGGGACGTGGACACAGGGGATGGAGGAGCCGTGACTAACCTGGGGTGCAGGTGAAATGTCCCTGGGCCCATCCACCCTCATCACCATCTCTCTTGCCCCGAGCCTGGCCTCCCTGGGAGAGGAGACAAGTGACAATAGGGGTGCTGCTGAGTCCTGGCTCACCTTCACGTTCATAAGGAGCTCCCAGAAGTTTCGAGGGGGCAGCACAATGGTTGTGTTGAGCTCGATGACGTAGCACTTGTCCAGGGAGATGTCGTGGTAGGCAGTGAGACCCTGCGCAGGGGGAGATGCCATGTCAGTCTCTGGGGGAAATGAGGGGCTGAGGTGGACTGGGCTGCCAGCAGAGACCTGGGTCCCTTGAGGGCCATCCCAGGCCCCTGTGCCTTCAGGAGTGTCGTCCCCAAGTTCCTGGATGCCTGGCTTGGTGCACTGCTCTCTAGCCCAGGGTTAAAGGAGGTGCCACCTCATAGATGACAGCAGCACTGGCCTCTTTAATGCCTCAGGTGCTATGAAGCCTCTTCCTGTGGCTTCGCAGGGGTGGGTGAAGATCAGGCACAGGTTATTTCCTAATTTGTACTCATCAAATTAGTGAGGTGCAGCATTCCTGGAAGCAGCTGATCTCAGCATGAGACGCTCTGTCCCAGGAGCCCCAGGCCTCTGGCTGCAGGACACCCAGGGCAGGATTAGCCCCGAAACCTCGTGAGGCTTTGAGAAGCAAGGGCTCGGGAAAGCCAGCTGGGGCTTGGGTCTCACCGGCCTCAAACGAAAACACCTCCCTGAGTGCTGGCGACATGCAAGACCTTGACCTGGGTGGTATTCCATGAGTGCCACCTGTAGAAACCACTCAGCTGCACACTCAGTGCACCTGATGGTGGGCATGCAAATGTGACAGACACCAGGGCCATGGCCTGGCTGTGACGCAGCTGTCAAGCAGCCAACTTGGCCACAACAAACACTACTGCCTGCGTGATAACAGCAGTGTCTTTAGAAGGCTGGTAAATGTAACCACAGACTTGTACTACACAGTTTGCAAACACCTTCAAGGATTCTCCTTGCCCTGAGACTCCAGGACACTCTCCCACTGGCCCCCCCACAGGTTGGCCCTACCCGCTGGAAGTCGTGGATAATGTCTGCAGGGTCCCCACCACCAAACTGTGGTACAGGGACATTGATACGCTCGTAGTTCTCTTCGAGGTAGATCTTCACGTCCTCCTCCAGCTCCATGCGGGTCCGGACCTGGGACAGGGAGTCTTCATAGAGCACACCACAGTGGAAGAAGTTATCTCGGGCCAGCTGAGCAAGGTGGGGTGGCAGGGGGAGGGAGAGAGACAGAGGGTTAGTTAGAGCCTGGGGGGGCACCTGCAGTCCCAGAGGACACAAAGAAGGGTGAGGAGCTTCCATGCAACACAGGTGATTCCAGGGCCACCACTGCTCCTGGCCTGAGCCCCTTAAACACTAGGCCCATCAGCTGGGTGGCCAATTCTCCCATCGGCAGGGGAAGCGAGGCAGTGTGACTGGTGTCAACAGAGTGACAGGGCCACCAGTGTGTGCACTGGGACCTCTCCTGGGACAAAGGGGCTCCAAGGAACTGCTTGGCCTGTAATCGGCCGAATTCCCCTTCTCAGGGTACTCCTAGGGTGAACCACTGTAGCCACGTGGGGTCCCTGGGGGGCTGTGTGGGGATCCCAGGGGAGGTGAGGTGGGATGGCAGGGCTGGGCTCCATCAGGGCTGCCCAGTCAGCTCCAAACTGGATACCTCACACACATCCCGGGGGTTGCTCTGAGATGTTACACTGCCTGGAAATGAGGGTGGGGTGAGGGGCCCCAGGGCGTGAGTAGGGGCTAGGAGAAGGAAGGGTCCCACATAGGAAAGGAGCCACCAGACAAGGGTGTGAAGTCCCGTGGAATACAAACTCTCCAGTAATTTCCATCCCGGGAAAACCGGGTGACAAGAAAGTTAAACGCTCAGGAGTAGAGGTCACCTGGGTCAACAATGACTGGCAAGTCTCAGCCTTTTAGTCACCCTGAGATTCCCCCTTACGTTTATCCTCGAGTGACTTTGAATATTAACTACTTTCAGTTCCAAGATGTGAGGCACCTTCCTTCTCCTCAAGTCTCGGTGGCCTGGTTTCAGGCCCAAATCCCCAGGGGTGTCCCTGTGGCCAGGCAAGCCCCTCTGTGGTCCAGCTCCTGGTCCCTGAAGCCAGCTGTGGTAAATCTGTTAAACCCCGCTGTCCCTCAATCTGGACCCCAAATGTCCATGCACAGAACAGAATTAGGTCATCCTTACAGTGTGACCCACGGGCACAGAGTCTGAGCTCCAGAGGAGATAACAGAGCTCTGATTACTAGGGCTGAAGACACGGCTCAAGTGATAGAGTGCCTGCCTAGCAAGCACAAGGTCCTGAGTTCAAACCCCAGCACCATCAAAACAAGGTAACACAAAAAAACCTTTCCAGAGCTCTGATTACTGCTGGACCTGAGTTCCTGGTGACAATGCCCCAGGATGACACTGTGGGAGAGGCTCTGGTGTTGCCACCTGGATCAATGCTTCGCTCCCCAGGACAAGGGGCTGAGGTTGGGACTAACCTGGGTACAGGCTCCAACCTGAGAACATAGTCAGGGCTTCCTGCAGCCTCTCTTCCCAAGGCCCAGCCCCTGGCTCTCCCCTGCTCCCACATAGGCCGCAAACTTCTCTCTAGTCCCATTTTCCCTACCCGTGCCCGCTGGCTCCTCACCTGAGCAAGGAAGAAATATCTGTAGATGTAGACCGAGGCGAAGGCCAGGCCCATAAGCAGCACGACCATGCCCATAGACAGGTAGCACACACCGCCCACGGAGCCCCCTTTCTTGGGGCGGTGTTGGGGGGCCGCTCCTCCTGAGAACAGTAGTGCCAGGGTCAGCCAGAGGCCCCAGTGGGGGTCTGCTCCCCTGAGATCCCCTCTTCCCTAAGTGAGACCACATCTCTGGCTGGGCCCAGAGAGCCTTAGGGGAGGGGGCAGAGAACACAAATCTGGAAGGAAGGTAGCCTCATCAAGGTCTCCTGGCCTCCTCCCAGCTGCAGAGAAACCGAGACTCACCTGGAAGCCACCTACAACTATCCGGACATTTTGAATTTCCTGTGCTCTTAGTCCTCTTCATTGACCACTGTATAGTCTTTCAAATGTGAGGTGGGATCCAGGAATCCACGGGAATCAGGATGCATCTGGTAGGCTGTGAGCCATTGCTCTGGGCAATGGGGTGCCAAGGAAGGCTTTAGAACTAGGGAGTGACAAGACCTACCCTAAACTTGGAGTCACAGAGTGGACTGGGATGAGGGCAGTGGGAGAGGGGACTGTAGGAACTGCTGGACTCTACTGGGGTAGTCCCTGACTGTTGCGGGCCGGGGCTCAGGAGGCCCAGAAGTCTGGGCATAGATGGGTGCTTGTCCCTGGCCAGGTAGCCCAGTAGTGCAATTCACTGTGTTCATCCCTTCCTCGGTGGTGTCCATTAGTGTCAGGAAGGCTCTCAGAAGTGGAGTCTACAAGGTGACGTTTAGAAGCAACTAGAAGCCGAGGAGTTTCCTCTAGGAGGGAAATGGCTGTCAGGGAGGCCAGGCCAGGAGGTCCAGGGAAAAACCTGTTCTGGGAGCCAGACTTGGGCTGCAGGGCTGCCCAAGCCAGAGCCGACTCCAGGCCACATGTGTCTGAGCTGGTGGATGGAGGTGTGTGAGTGAGCATAAAATCAATAAAACTATTTTGTTCAGAGCCCTGGGACTGAAGCCCAAAGGGTCACCTTGGTCACCTCTGTCTGTCCTCGCTACTCCTCGCCCTAACCCTGGTTGGCCCCATTCACTTTTATAGATGATGCAAAAGTCCCAGGCTTATCTCTACTTCAGCGTCCACTACTCCCACCCTTTCCCATGGTGTCCAGATACAGCCAAGGGTGAGGTTAGAGGTCAGTCCCCATGAACACTCCCAAACTCAAGAAGCTGAGGCCACAGATGGAGCCCCCACACCAGCACTGCGCTCCAGGGGGCTTTCCCAGGACAGCTGCCTGCCAGAGGGGGGAGAGGACTGCAATGGCTTTGACTTTCCAATGAGCTCTCTGGGGTATTGCCAAAAGCCAAGCTCTGCCAGTATTTCACAAGAACAAGCCACCAGGGGCTGCTGCAAACATGGCAGCCAGGGGAGGTGGCAGCCTTCTGCTCATCCAGTGGTCATGAGTGCGTCATAGGAGAGATGGTGAACCCTGACAAGCTAGGCTACCCACACCTGCTGTGAATCCTGTCCTTGGGGCACAACAAGGCCAAATTCTATCTAGGCGGTCAGTCCATGGGGTTGTTTGGCAGGGCCTGGAGGCCCCTACCAGGGTAGCACGGCTTTCCCAAACTCAGGTCTCCATGTAGAATGTGAACCGAGTTCCTGACAGGGGTTTTGTAGGGATTAAAAGAGGCAGAGAACATGAAAGCCCTCTGTAGAGGATAAAGTGTCAGATAAAAATAGCAGATCTATGGCCGAGCCTTTCCTTTTTAGGGCTGCTGCCTCAGACAGCTGTTGAGGCTATACAGTGGCTATGTTTTTGCTCCTGCATTCTGGAAAACCAGCGAAGCTAGCTTGGGAGAATTGTTTAAAAAAAAAAAAAAACTCCTCAATGGAGTTCAAGTGAGAGCTTGAGGCCTGCTCTACAAATCAAATACACAAAGGTGAGACCTCTCATCTCACAGCTGCCCTGTGAGTTCCAGCTGGTCCGTATCTCCATGTACTAGGGGACAGGGTGGGTTTGGAGGCCCAGCAGAGATCAGTGAGGACAGGGCAAGGAGGAGGTGGGGCTTCAGTGATCCTGCTGAATGAGGGGTGGCCAGGTGTGGCTGAGAAGGGGAGACAGTCTAGTTAGGACCCCTCATTGTGAAGAATGGAACCTTACCTAGCAGGGGTGGTGACCACACCCATCTCAAAGCCAGAGATAATGAGGGAGATCAAAATACCCCATCTCTCCCAAAACATCTCCTCAGCGTATTATTTCCAGCTGATTGTTTGGAGAAACCATGGACTTTTGCAGATATAGGCATGGCTGTGAAAAGTTGTCCTTTGTAAAAGCCACTGATATCCATCTCCAGTAGTAAGGTAAGCAGGAATGCAAACAGAGGTGCTCTCTCTCAAATTCCACAGCTGCCTAGGAAAGAGCTTGGGAAGGAAGAGAGCAGGGCTGACACCAGGCCCAGAGCTCACCACAGGTGGTCTTCCCAGCCCGCCCCTTCACAGTTTGCTTGGCGGCCTCCCCAGCAGCCTGGAGCCCCTGGTTCTTTCTGCAGCTCCTAATATCATGGCCCTTTCTTGGAGTTGTATACTTTGTAGACGGCTCACGGGGCTGTGCATGGCACAGATTTTGTTCGTTTTTCCTGTTAATCCGTCTACTTGTCAGTTTATTTCATAGACTAAAATTATCAAGCCCTTCAGAGGGGAAAATGAAACTGTAAACTCCCCCACACTAACAATGGCTCTTGCACCCCCCTACTGACACCCCCAGCACACACCTGGGGCCCAGCCACCCTGCCACTCACTCATTCCTCCCATCAACCCCCTGGAAGCATCAGGGTTAAGCAGCAGGGCTGGAAGTAAGCAGCAGGCTAGAGACAGGAAACCTAGCATGTCCCTGCTTGGGGACAAAAGGGTCAGCACTACCTTTGTCTGCTAGACATGGCCAAGGCCAAGGCTCAAATTCCAAAGTCCTGGACCCTTGCTGACCCCACTGGGTCCTTGCTCAGGACCTAGTCACAGGCTGTGACCTCACAGGGGCAGTGAAGGTGGCTGAGTGGTCAGCTTTCCTGAGTACCCCCTACACACACACACACACACACACACACACACACACACACCAGCTGCTCCCACGTGGAGCAGTGACCTGACAGCTTGGCATTTGGGGGGCTTCCGTTTACAAAGTAGGAAAACATTGCATATTGTTTCCAAGGCAACCAGCTCTCTGAGCAAAGGGACTCATGGCACACTTGCGTTGGGCATGTCAGCCAGACATCTGGGGACCTGAGGGAGGCCTGGGCTCCCGCCTGCAGGCTTCATTGAGGCCCAGATGGTGTTCGTAAAATGATTTAGCAAAGTCGGGGCAAAATGGACAGGAAATCACCAACTGGAGCCTAACTCGGCAGAGTCCGTGGCTCAGAGAGAGGACTCCCCAGTGACTATCCCTCAGTAACTGTCCACACTAACCACACGCGCGTCCAACTACTACTTAGGGGAGACAGGAAAGGGCAGCAGCTCAGGCTGCAGGCTAGGGGCTGGGGTCACACACCATCTCCCCCACTTCGCATCTGTTATCTTTCCAGGGATTTAGACTCCAGACCACAGATGCAAAGATGCCAAAGGGTGTGTGAGAGACAGAGGCCTAGCTGGGGTTGGGAGGAGGGTCAATGTTCAGTCCCTGACTGACAGAATACAATCACTTGGGCACACGCCCCGTGCCATCAGGGCTCAGGGATTTACCACACGAACAGAATCCCAGTCCTGTCCCCCTCTAGCCCAAGGTGCCTCACGGTGCTCAGCATCTGTGCAGTCGCTCTCAACTTGTCTGGGCCAGCAAATTCTCTCCTCAGCTCTGCCCTGACAGTCAGGGCGTCTCAGAGAACAAAGGCTCAGGAAGGCTGCAGAGCAAGGCAAAGCCTAGGGCTGGGAGAGGTCCCTCTCTGGGGGCAGCCTGGATACTGGGGTGGGACTGGGGGATACCAGATACCAGGCTGTGCAGCTGCCATTTTACCAAGAACAATTTTCTCATGAGGAGAAACATCCTCGCTGGCAGTCAGCTGACAAATTTGACCATGGGAGAGAAGAAAACAGAAAAGAGAGGGAAAGCAGAAAGCCATTACTGTGTCCATCCAAACGCCAAAACCAGGAATGGACATCCCTGAAAGTCCCTGTTCCCGCCACAAGGGAGGAGATGGGCTGGCTGACTTTTTTTTCAAGGACCTTCTGGCTCATCCCAACCAGCTAGTGGCTTCAGGGGCCCTAGGTGGGCCTCCTTGCTGGCCAGTCCTGCCCTCCTAGCTGGCAGGGGACCCTCCCTCTACAGCTCCTCCTGCCAAAGGCCCGAGGCCAGGATACATAGGGAAAGTGAAATCTGATCTGCAGGTATGCAGGCTGGGGGAGGGGGAGACCCAGGGGCCACTAATCAAAGGCAAATGCCACGGAGAAAAATAGAGCTGAGATGACTGAATTTGACACGTTTCTGTCCATGCCCATGTCTGCCTGTGTGCATGAGCTCGCTATGTGTGCGTGCACGTGTGGACATACATGCAGATGCAAGCAGACTATGAGGAGAGGCGGTGGACTGAAAGGGGCAGGATCACTAGTGGGCCTCCAAAGGGGAGAAGTGACCACTGGTGCAGGCTCTGTGGCTTCCCAATTATCATTTGAGAGGTTGCAGCTGGAGGCCCAGCTGGGCCTCCCCCCACCCCCACCCTAGACCACCGAGGCATTTCCTTCTAGCCTCAGGTCTGGGGACAAAATCCTTCTTGCTTCAGTGTTTGCTTGGAAGCAGGGGCAGTGCCCACTGGGAGGGGGCAGTGCTGCAGCCTTCCCCAGCCCCCACCCTGGGCTGGACACAGGTAGACTATCACCCAAAGATCCTGGCTCACTCATCTGTTTATCAAGTGGTCCTTCCAGAGACCTTTAATAAGCTGTCCTGTGTATGGAATAAAATCCAAATACCCTGACTTGATAAACCAGCTTCTGGCCCAGCCACCCTTCATTGTAGCCTCTTGGCCCATCTCTTGGTGCTCCCACAATGGCTGATGCTCTGTCCTCAGCTACAGGGCAAAATGCCTCTTGCCTGCTCTCTTGGCAGTGGTTGAGGAGTCTTGGCCAGGTGGAGTAACAAGAGGCCTGCAGGAGTGAGCTACCTTCCTAGGCTCCAGCCCCAACCATTACAGGTGAGCAGAGTTAGAGTGCAACACCTTTTGCACCAGGTCAGGGCCTGGGCAAGCTATGCAAGTGCACCAATCCGTGGTTCTGTCCCAAGGTCCCAGGATTTAATTCCTCCTCCTGACTGCCCCACCTCTCAAGCTCCCCGCTGCCACTTAGAGGTAGGGGAGCCCGCTGGCAGGCTCCAGGCCATTACTAACAGCACACAGGACAGGATGAGACAGATATTTCCATTTCATGCTGGGTGAAGGCAAGAGAGGCCACTCAGCCTCAAAACCTGAGAAAAGCCAGAAGCTGGATGTTAGTTACTGCCTAGGTCCTGCTGGTGGGGGAGATCAAAATAAGCCACCCCCAAAATATCTGCTGTAGCCTATTTGGAAATGGCCGTCAGAAGGGCTGCAGACACGGGACCAGCTCAGAAAAGCTGTCCTTTTGTGGGGGAGAGTTGGGTCCACGGAGAAAATGAAGCAGACGCAGGTACACAGATGCAAACAGGCTTTCTCCCAGGCCTCCTCCTTATTTGTCTAGGAAAGATCTTTTCCCAGCAAGGATGCAGAGTCTAACACCTGACCCACAGACTTGGTCTTCAGGGGGTTGTCACCTGAGAGGCTTTCTCAGCATAGTAAGAGTACCTTTGTTCTTGGGGTTCCTTTATTCACCCACCCCTAACTCCAGCCCAAAGTCTCTGCTTCTTTCTTCTATATAAACTCCAACTGGCCAGCCTCTCCTTTGAGTCTCATACTTTGTGTATGGCTTCTGTGCTTGTACCTGCTAATAAGATTGTATATTTCCCCCTATTAATCTGTGCGTTCTCAGCTTGTTTCACAGGCTAAAATTAAGAAGCTTTTAGAGCTTAATGAGAAAATTGGAAACTTCCCCACACTGGGCTTTGCTATTCTGTCCAACATGGTCAGCAGACCGTCAATGGAGAACGTACCACTCCTACAAGACTTGGTGCATCTTTTGGTGGAGTTGGGATTAAATCTTCCCGGTATCTGGCTTGGTCTCCCTCCCCACAAATCTTGTAGCTCTCAGCAGTCAGGTCCTGGATCCAGGTCTTAGCTGGGCGCCTGCCCCTGGGAGAAGCAGTTGGGAATAGACAAGCTGCCTCTGGCCCCTGGCTGAGAGGAGGTGGAGGGGAGGCTTATGAGCCCCTAGCAAACTTTTAAAGCTGCAGACTGAAGTCTTAAATTGAGACATCCCCTCTTCATCTAAATTTCAGATGAAAGTGGAACTGCTCCTGTGACCCAGCCTGGGTGGTCACGGAATTCTGCAACAGCCACCACACATGGGCATAGGAGTGACCCTGGCATTTTTCACTCAGGGATCTAAATCAGGCTGACACCACCTCTGTGGGCCCTCTCTAGCGCCCCCTCTTCTATGGCCTAGATCCTCCCCCGCAGGTCTCTTGGTACTCCAGGTAAGACTGAGTTGGAGTCACAAAACTTGACTTGGGGAGGAGGGAGTGAATGGACACTTTCTTACACCTGGTTCTTTGGGAGGGACAGAGGCTTGGTGCACCCCAAGGCTGCTGGAGGGCTGGGGACAGCGGCCGCGAAGACACCTCTGTTGGGGCACAATGAAACCTGGCTGGGCCAGCTCCCCTGCTCTCCCCTCCCTGCCCGCCACGCGTCCTGGATGCTCTGGGCGCTTCCCTGACCCACTCCACGCAGCTCAGACAGCTTTCCACGACGGAAATGCCTTCTCTCCCCTAGGCCAGGGCGGAGGCGGGGCCCCCGGAGGCCTGTCCCCACAAAGCCGGCGAGAGACCCGGGATGCCCAGGGCACCGGGCCGCGAGAGCCCTCCCCGCCGCGGAGGGGGCAGCCCAGCCGGCGAGCCCGGAGAGGAGGGCGGAGAGGGGGGAGAGAGGCCCGCATCGCAGGGGGTGAAGTGGGATGAGGTCGCCTGGCCTAGGACCACGGATCCGCGGATCCCTGGCCGGGCTGGTTCTGGTTTATTGCCATTTCATCACTTCATGGTCCACAATTCCAGCCCGGACTAGCAACACATCCTCCATCCTCCATCCCTCACAGCCTCCCCTCCCACGTTGGGGGAAGGAAAAAAAAAACAATCAATGGCCCCTCCCCCTTTCTTGGCACCAGACCCCCCTCCCCGAAACCAATCAGCTCCCACCGCCCTACTCAGGGGAAACTCTATTCAACCCTCCTCCCATCCCCCACCTGGGACTTGACTCGCGGTCCCTCCCCCTTGATTGGAACCAGACGCAAACCCCCACCAACATTTCTCCGAACTTCCACGCACCAGCCTCCTCCGCCTCCTATTTTGGAACCCGGCACGTTGGCCCGCTCCACTTTTGGAAGAGATCTCGAGCGCGTCCCCATTGAAGTTTTGCTTTCGGCTGTCGCTTGGGTAGGACCCAAGGCTCATCCCCATTTGGGGATGGACCAGCCATTCGAGAGCTCCGGTCCCCGCTCCGCTCGCGGCTCCGGAGTCTCAAGGCGCCTCGGGGTCCCTGGGACCAGCAGATCGCGCCTCGGTCCCTCGCCGCCCACCAGAGTCCCCGGCCCCTCTCACCCTAGCCGGCGTCAGCAAGATCTCAGCGGCCGGGGCAGGCGCCGAGGCCGCGGCCGCCGCTTTGTCGGCCTTGTCGCCTTTGATGCCGGCCACAGCAGGCTGGAAACTGATCTTCACCATGGCTGCGCCGGCCCGCGCGTCCGCCCCGCACACTCTGCCCGTGCAGCCTCCGTCTGTGCCTCCGCCGCTCGGTGCGCTGCAGGCACCGGAAGTTTGGATCGCGCTGGCGTCCCCGTCCCTAACCCCACCCCCAGCCCGCCCGCCCCGCCCTCCGCGGGGGACTTTGGCGCCGGCCGCGCCCGCGCCCGCGCCCCCTTCCGGCCGAGGCGCCCATCCCCGGACCTGGAGAGGATTGGGGTTCCCTCCACTGTTCTCTAGCTTGCGCACATTCATTCATTCAATCATCGCGCAAGCACTCGCTCAGGATCTCTTCCCGCTCCCTCTGCACGACCCAGTATCCCCGAAACATGTCTGTCTTCACACGGGGTTGCCTGGCAAACGCCACTTCTAGACAAGCTCCCCATTTCCTAGGCTCCTCTTTGGAGACGCTCAGTCTCCACCGTGCCAACTCCCTGTCCTTGGCAGAGAGGAGGCTCCAGGCCAGGCGCCTAACTGCTTGCCTCTGCCCTGAGTCCTGAACCCACCCCCTTCGTTCTCCATCATGCTTCTTCCTCTGTCTTTCGTCCTGCAAAACCTTCCCGAAGGCCCCTGGGACGCACGCTGATGCCTCTGGAAGTAGAGAAGGCAGGGGAGGCAGCCCTTGCTCTTTGACTCCCTGGGTTAGGGGCAGCCTGCAGAGCGGTCAGCCCTGATCTGCCCAGTTCTAGGCCATCCAGTAGGATGGAGGTGGTGTGATGGGAAGAGGCCAGAGGCTTGGGTTCCAGTCCTCGGCGCTGTCCCTGCCAAGCCTCACGGGTGTTGGGGAGAAGGTGGGGCTTCTATTGGCAGCACAGCTCTGGGTCTTACTGTCCCTTGTCCAGGCCAGGCTGTGGACAGCACCCAGCAACCCAACCCAGCATTGGTTCTGCTGTTGGGCAGAAGGTGGAAGGAAGAGAATCTACCAGCTTGTTGAGGACAGTCCACTGCCCAAGGCTGATCTCTCCTCCTACCATGGGCATCCTCCTTCGGCCCATGGTGCCCACCTCATAGACCTGGACATCTTGGCACAGATTTGGATGGACCTAGCAGCTTTGAAGACAAAGGGTCAAGAAAGAAGAAAGTCTAACTTTCTTTCAGGGTAAGCTCACCAGCGTGGGGAACTGGGAGAGGGAATGGGGAGGTGAAGGAGATGGTTCCGAAGAGAGGAGGAATTTGGTTTGGATCAGAGCGGGGAGGAAGGTTGGTGTGGAGTCTGTTATCCAGCACCTCACACTCCAACATGAATCTGGTGCTTGGAGAAGCCAAGCTCCCAGGCCTCGCTAGTGTAGCTGTACCATCCTTCAACACTTAGACCACCCGGTGTTTTCCAAGCACCCCGCTGTGCCAAGCATTGGGTTAAGCTCTGTGACAGAAAACAGAAATGGTCAAGACACAAGCCAGCAACTCAGGACCTGATCATGTTAAGCCTTCTGTCTACTGACTTCTTCCATATGTGTTAAATCGTTTGATTTTCATCACAGCCCCTGTGACCTCATGTGATAGGAACTAACCCGACTCAACCTAGGATCCCTGAGCAGATATAGGGAAGACCTCTGATGGGCAAGTCAGGACCTTGGGTTGACTAGTCAGGCTGACGCATCTGTGTGCTTGGGGTTGGCAGTGGTGTACTCTGCTTCCTCAGAAAGGCCTTCCTGACTGGCCTGGCCGTAAGTTCCTTTACTGTGCACCCTCAGCACTGTATGCCTCCCCCTTAACCTCTCCTTAACCTTGACCACAGGCTGGGCACACATCCAAGGGCAGTGACTCCTTAACTATTTGGTCTCTGGGTCCCAAAGAGCTCTTGCTTCTATGGGCTATGCCTGTCAACATTTATTATTAGTAATTAAAACACAGAAAAAAATTAAAACACGAAAATACACATATTCAATAACCTTTAAAGTACGGTCATCACATGTATAGCTTCTGGAAAATTCCATTGTATGCTAAGGAAAGGAGAGTAAAATAGCATATTAATATAATTGCAAAAATAGTTTTGACCTTGAAGATCATCTGAATGGGTCTTAGAACCCCTAGGCGCTTCAGATTACATTTTCAGAACTGCTGCTCTGGTACATGCTTAGGAATCCATATTTCAGGCCAAGGAGCCTAGCTCAAGGGGTAGAGCAAGGCTCTGGGTTCCATCCTCAATACTACAAGAAAAAAAAAAAGGTGGGCATGGTGGCACACCCCTGTGACCCCCTAGCTAGTGTTCAGGAGACTGAGGCAGGAGGTTCACAAGTTTGAGGCCAGTCTGAGCTCACAGCATAGCAAAACCCTGTCTCAACGAGAAAAAAGAAAAAAAAAATCCATATTCCATGGATTCTAGGATACGCCTGGTCTCACATTTTAACAGACCTGAAATTGTGATATCTTTCGCAATTATACTGGGCACTGATCTTTCCTTCCCTCCCTCCCTTCTTCCTTCCTCTCTCTTTGGGGATGGAACCCAGGGTCCCATGCATGCCAGGCATGGTGCTCGCTCTTAATGTACCTTCAGTGATGCTGCGTCTTAGAAGTATCAGCATCTTAGAGTTGATGGAATGCAGTCAGTTATCCAAGAGCTCCAGAAGGCAGTGTGAACTTTGCCATCACACACCAGGCTTTGTGGACTCAGGGAAGGATAGGGCCATTGCTGAGCAGGGGTTGTGGTATAGCTGAGGCTCTTTGAGACACAGTAGATTTGGATGGGAACCAGAGAGACAGGGTGTAGCTAGGGGACTGGGAAACAAGAGGGCATAATGGGTAGGAAAGAGTGAGTCTAAGCCAGGACCCTTCAGCCCAGCATTGTAGCCATTCTCTTGCCGGCACTCCTATCTCTTTGTCCTTCTGTCCTTCCATTGAATCCAACTGGCAGAGCTTCTGCTGCCCAGCTGTGCAGTTCTCGGGCCTGCTCAGGGGCTGCTGAGCCTCTGTTGGAGAAAGATACCATCATGCCTACTAGGGTTTGGATAAGTGTTCTGGAAAGGTGCATGTATTTAGCGCTTGGTCCCAGTAGCAAGGTGATGCTGTTGGAGGTGGTGGAACCTTTAGGAGGTGAGGCCTAGTGGGGGGGCTTAGGTCATTGAGGATATGTCCTTAAAGGAGATTGTGGGACCCCACCCTATCCTCTCTTTCTCTCCCTTTTTGCTTCTGGACTCCTGATGTGCTTGCCTCACCACAGGCCCAAAACACTGGGGCTAATGGCTCAAGGAATGGAACCTCCATACCAGTAAATAGTAAACTTTTTTCTTAACAGATTCATTATCTCAGGTATTTCTTTAGAGGAATGCAAAAGTGATGAATACAATGCCTTTTGGGACCTCCATGCTCCCTCCTTTTGGGGGCTCTCAGCACAGATGAGCAATTCCATAGTAGTGTAGGGGAGGGGTGCCCCTTGGTGCCGTGCCTCCACCTGCCGCTCTCAGTGTTCCCTCTTTTTCATTAAGGAGCCGGGTATTAAAGGTAGGTGATTTTTAAAAGTTAGATAAAAGTTAAAACAAAGATATATCTGTGTATCCAGCATACCAGTCGCAATGTAGATTTCCACAATTCCATAAAGTTCCCTCCAACTCCTTTCTAGTAAATCCCTATCACTTCTCTCTGTTGACAATCACTGTTCTGTTTTCTAAGCTATGAATTAATTTTTGTCTGCATTTGAAATTCATGTTAATAAAATTGAGTATGTACAGTGCATACTTTTTTGTATCTAACTTCATTCATTAAACAAAGATTTTGAAATTCGTCCATAATACTTTGTTCTGCTTTTCTTACTGACTTACATTCCATTTTGTCTAAGTATTACGGTTTGTCTATTCGTTTCCCTGGTTGCTTTCAGTCTTTGGCTGTAAGTAATAAAGCTGTGAACATTCCTGTACATTGTTGTTGACATGTGTTTTAATTTCACTTGAGTAAGCAGCATCAAAGAGGATGAGGTAGAAATGGCCGTTTTATCACTGACGTTGTTTAGAATTGCAAGTGTGTGGTGATGATGTAAAGTAGACTACTTTCTGGTTGGTTTTATTACTGGTTTTAAATTCTCTGCAGAAAGGTAACCCCTGTTGGGCAGAACACTCCCACAGCTTCCCCAACTTAATATTCTACTGCCTGGGAGAGAGAGATTCCTGGTAACGGTTTTCCAAAGTAAAGATCAACCTTATATCCACAAACACGGTATATTTCTCTGTTTGATTAGATCTTCTTTAATTCCTCTCACCAATGTTTTGTAGTTTACAGTGTGGAGAGCTCGTACACATCTTAAATGTATGCCTCCCTATGTCTTTTTTATGCTCTTGCACTTACTTATTTTACTTTCCGGTTCTTTACTGGTAATACACTATGGATTTGGAAATGTGACCTTGTGTGTTAGTTCATTTTGGGTTGCCAGAACACAATAGCTGAGCCATAGGGAGTACCACATGGGACAAAAAGCAAATCAACTCTGGGTCCTTAACCTGTTACCTATTAAAAGCACGATGCATGTTTTCTCCTGCCTCCACACTTGTTCTCTCAGTATGCTCTCTCTTGTCACAAACATAAGGCCAGATGTTTACACACCATGAGCCCCTTATGACCAGACCAAGCTGAACCTGGTGGGGTTTGAGATGGCCACACGAATGACCTCTAATAGCTCCCAAATCCCACAAGATTAAGGAGTAAACAAAGCAGGTGTGTGTGTGGGGATTGTTAGCAGAGAACAAGCTGATTCTATCAAACACCCTTGGAAAGCCCCAGAATCAAGTCAGGCATCAAACTGTCAGAGCAAAATCATGGCACTTGTTCTTAGCTGATTTAAAGATCACTAATTTGGGGGAGGTCACACAGCTGGACAGTACGTTGTCAATTTCTCACTAGCTTTGCTGCAGATAACACCTCTGGCATATGGAGTTACTTTGTACAAACTTGAAGGCTGCTTTTGCTAAAAACACTGGCTTTCCACTTAGGCCTGCAGATGTTGATGGATGACAATAGTGGGTTAAGAGGTTCCTGTCTCTATGTTGTGTCTG